ATGGCCAGAAAAGGCCTCACTGATATGGTAACATCTGAATAAAGATTTGAAGGGAGTGAAGGAGCCAGCAGATACCTAGGGGAAGAACATTGCAGGCAGAGGTAACGGCCAAGGCAAAAATCCTAAGACTGAAGTACGCCCGGCACTTCTGATGAATAGCAAGATCTGTGTGGATAAAGAAAAGTGAGTGCAGAATGATGGGAGGACTTCCCTGGTGGTGCAGTGGTTAAGAATCCGCCTGCCAACGGAGGGAACACAAGTTCAATCTCTGGTTCGGGGAAGATCCATCCCACATGCCAAGGAGCCAACTAAGCCTATGTGCGCGCCACAACTACTGAGCCCGCACGCCACAACTACTGAAGCCCTCACGCCTAGAGCCCGTGCTCTATAACAAGAAGCTGCCGCAATGAGAAGCCCATGTGCAGCAACGAAGACCCAACGCAGCCAAAAATAAATAAATAAATATATAAAAATTAAAAAAAAAAAAAAGAATGATGAGAGATGAGAAGTGGTTTGGGGAGTGGGGTGGATACAGATCTAGCAGAGACTTTGGCTTTTACTCTGAGCAAGAAGGCAAGTCCTCAGGAAGGTTTTAAACACAGGAATTACATGACCTAACCTGTGTTTTATTAAGATCACTCTGGCTGCTATGTTGAAAACAGACTGCAGGGATAGAAGGGATATTTAATGATGATAGTGGCAATCACAAGGTTCTTTGGGGTATCTGGACAAGGTCCCTACTTCAGTGCTGTTAGGATAATTGGGATTCCACTAATGCTTGACCTCTCTAACCAAATGAAAAATTGGGTATCTGAGAATATAAGTCTGAACATAGAGATAAAATAAGCAAATACTCTAAGCTCTCGGATCTTAAACATTTTTGAGGTTAAAATTTACTTGTTCACACCAAAAAAATACCACTGTAGGCCTGTGCTTCCCTGACCTACTCCTCCTCATTCATTCCTTGAGAGAAAGGCAAAGAACACAGCTACTTCCAAATTGATGCTGAAATAAATCTGATACTCATTCACTTAGTCAACCAACATTTGGTGGGCAAGTACCTACAATATGGGCCAGCTGCTGTCTTGAGTGCAAGGGCTATAAAGATGAACAAAATATGGCCCATCCTAAGATATTTACAGTCTAGTGTGTGAGCTACCTAGACTTACATAATGTGCCATAAAGAAACACAAGCTCACTTTTAATGTTATACAGCAGCACTAACAGAAATATAACATGAGCCACAAATACAAGCCACATATGTAATTTAAAAATTTCTAGTAACCATTTTTAAAAAGGTAAAAAGAAACAAGCAAAATTAATTGCAATATTTGACTTTACTGAATAAATCCAGAATATTATTTCAACATGTAACAATATAAAAATTGAGATTTTTACATTCTTTTTTATACCATTTTTTAAATCCTAGGTGTATTTTATACTCAAGCATATTTCAGCTTGAACTAGCCACATTTCAAGGGTCTTGAACAGCATAATTATGCAGAATAGACCTATTTTTTAGAAAACTGAAAAGAATTTGACACAGGTACAGGGCAAAGTAAATTAGTAGAGGGAGGCTTGAACATGTTCACAGCTTAAAGAAAAAGAGTAAACATACTATAGAAAATTGATATGGAGTGCGGAGAGCAGAATGAAAGAGCACGAGTGAACTGGTTAGTTTGGAAAAGAGGACCGTCGCACCTTCCTCTGTGACAAGTGGAAAGGTTAGAATTAAGATATAAACAAGTCTGGTGAATGCGAATGGGTTGAGAGTTTAGGTTAAGAGCTTCCCATTTTTCTCAGTGAATCAGAAGACAATCTTACTAGCCTCCTTCCACCACTGCGGATACAAACCTGAAGGGACTACATTTATGGAACAATTTAATAAACTGTACCCTAGTATGACAACATTAAGTTGTGTTTTTAAAAATTATAGTAATTTTCTAGCTCTCTTATGGACTGGTCAATCTTTGAATTTTGTCACTTGATCTCTAAACACAGAAGCAATACTATGGATTCATTCTTTATTTTCTCACCTATTCATTTATTCAGCAAACATGTACCCAGTGTCTACTCATGTCAAGTACTGTGTGAGACAATGAGCATACAGAGATGAATAAGGCCTTCAGTGACCTACATTTGTGTCCCCAGTATTTAGCTTATTATGTCTGCACACAGTAAGTGCTTTAAAAACACAGCACTACATTGCCCTGTAAAGAAATATTACATGTCAACTAAAATATGAACTGACAAAGACTTTCATTTGTCTAAAGTAGCGCTGTACAATAATTTTCTGTGCTAATAAATATGTCCTACTCTGAACTGTCCAATATAGTAGCTAATAGCCACATGAATTTTTAATTAATTAGAATTTTAATAGCCAAGGTGGTTAATGGCTACCACAAAAATCTAAATATGAGAATACAGTGAGTAGCTAATGGCATTTCCACTATTATAATCTTGGTGCTGTCATCTCTAATGAGTTAACACACATGTGATGCTAGAATAATACCAACTGTACCAGAAAGACATAAGAAAATTTTCTTAGTGTAAAATAACTTTAGCATTATGAGCCCAAAAAGAAAGAACAAAAGAGAAAGAAAAAATAAAGGATAGTCCAATCTTTTCAGTCTACTTCCCCAAAGGAAAACATCAACTTTCTGACAACCTCCTAATTTTTCTCATTGTGTCAAGAAGTGAAAATAGTCTGCAGAGATAAGGAGTCAAACTTTTTTAAATTAGAGGAGAATTAATAGAACATATGAGTTGTTTCAGTACAAAATGACAATGAACTTTTTTTTTGGCAAGACAATTTAACTTGTTGAAAATCGGGATGCATATAATGAATTAAGTGTTTTTATAGCTCAAAAAAACCTGTCTTTGTGATCTGCTTATTAATTTCTCCAAATCTGTCCTAGTTATCTGAATTTTCTTAAGTGAACCAACCTATTTCTAAAAGACTCAATTCATTGAGCAACTGGAAGTATAATTTAAACTAGACTTTGAATTGAATAATTCTTGGTGTAGTAACCAGAATGGCTGTTTATGACTGGGATAGTAAAATACACTTTCATTACTCTGTGAATCCACTATCCTTAATGTATAATTTAAGTGACTGTACAAAGGTAATCAGAGAAACAAAGTCCTACATGGGCACAGGTCTGATTACATACTTCCGTACTTCCATACTGATAACTTAAAAGTAAAACCAGTGAAGTGAGCAACCAATGTCAGAGAGAGCATTTTTTGTGTACAGCGAACTTGTTCAACTTGTTAACCACCCTGTAAGGCAGCTGTCTTGCAAATTAACCACACAACTCCCTGCCCGTCCTTTTAGTTGTGTTCAGCTGAAACCATTTAAAATAAACATTACCAGACTGCCTATCTTGAAGATGAGAATGGTTATACAATCAGGATTTTATTCAGGTTAACAAAAATACCTAACACTGAGAAGTGGTGTCTTAAATCTACTAGAAAAAACTTTAAGAGAACCACTAGCACACAAAAACACCATCAGGTAAACAAGACTTCTATACGTGAAGATGGGCAAATCAAAGGCATGAGATCAGACCTGAAATAATCAACTTCTAAAGTTACCGAGCTGCCGCTTACTGCAACGAAGCCAAAGTATTACAACAATCTGGTATTATGATGACATCATTAGCTTGGTTTCCTAATAAGGCATATATCTGGGATATATGAATGCCCAATTACCTAAAAATAGAGAGCTAACATTTGTCTGAGGCAGTGGCAGGCAGTTCTAGTTTTATTTATAAGATTTTTTTTTTTTTTTGAGAATGATGCCCACTGCCAAATGAATTAACAGAAGGCTAGCTCTGAAACAGCATACTTCTTAGTCATAACAACAACAACAAAATGTTCTTCCAGAGCAGGGAAAAAGAGGTATCAATGTTTTGGTCCCACAAAATCTTTACAGTTCCACAAAAACGGTTTTTGCTTCACGGCCTTTTGAATTCGTAAGTGAAAACACCGAAGTTGTAACAGCATTTAATTACTAATGCGATTTAGAAATTAAGCCGCAAACAGTAACAGACCTCATCATGGAGGTAAGGTTAGGCTTCTTCAGCCAGGAGCAATTTCAGTCCTAACTGTCACGTTGCCTTAGTGGTGTATTTTGCGGGCTGCAGCTGCCAGCAGGCAAGAAAGTTTTCTCTGTGAATTAGTTCTGAGAAAGGTGGCGCTTTTTATATGCCTTAAATCACCCTTTTCTAAGATCCTTTTTTTCCTCCAGGTGTTCCAGTAAAACTGAAAAGTTAACCATTGATTCCAAACCGGTCTCGTTCAAACTGCCTCGGGAGAGCGGAAAAAAAGGGAGGTTCGCGTTCGAAAAGTTTCACTTGGGGTTAGGGCGAGGACAAAGTAAGAAGGAAAAGTCCGCCATAACTACCGTACTTACCTTCGAAACTAGACGGGGTGTTGGAATATTCTTTCTTTCCCTCACCCAGGCCTTGGGTAAAATTTCTTTCGTTGAGAACGGTTAGACTAGGTAAGTGACCCTCCTCCTTGATAACGCAACCGCGAAAACAGCGAGGAGAGGGAGCTGGAGACAAGTCCTCACCCTCCCCTTCGCTCAAACGAGTCCCAAATTGTTAAGAGGCAGGAAACACAAGCCTCTTTTCTCTCCCCAAGACCTACTCTCTTTCCGTGCCCTCGCCCGAGTTCCTCAGGAGGGACGCCGACCCCGCTCCGGACTCGCTTCTGATCGCAGCCGCCCAGGTGCGCCGAGGAGGAGGGAGTAACCGAGAAGCGCGGGCAGGAAGCGGCCGCCGACCTCGGCGGCCCGGGCTCGGCGGCGAGACGCGTGCCGGAGCTGCTCGGGGCTCTGCCGGCTCCCGGGCCCTAGCCCGCCTCCGCTGCGGCCTAGCCCGGAGCCCGCGCCCCGGCCTCGCGGCTCCGCGCCGCCGGCCCTTCCTCACCACCTGGGCCCGAGAGACCGCGCAGGAGCAAGCGTCCGGGAGGTGAGGGGCGGAGGCACCTACCAGCTGCTGCCGGACCCAGCGCCACATGCCCCCGCCGTTGCCGTCCCGGTCCCGCGGGACGCGGCGGCCGAGGGGCTGCAGGTGGAGGCCGAAGAGCCAGAGGGGGAAGCAGGAGAGCCCCTCCGGCTGAAGTTCCGCTCGCCGTCGCGCTCGCCTCACTCCCCGCGCCGGGGCCCCATCTCGCCGCGCCGGCCCCGAGGTCCTACAGGCGCGGTCCCGGCGCCGCCCCCGCCCGGCGCAGCTGAGTCCGCTGCCGCGCCGCAGCCACCTTCATTATTGACCGTTGTCACCCGCAGTACCGCCACAACCCCACCCCCGGCCCCACCCGGGCCAGCCCCCGGCGCCCCGGCCCGCCTCCGGACGTGACGAAATTGGCTGCGCGGACCGAGGGCCCAGGCTCAGCCGCGTGGGTGGAGTAGGCGGCGAGCGTGGAAGGGGGCCGGGCTTCCGAACGCGGCGTCTGGGCTCTGCCCCTCCCCTCATATCTGGGGTAGGATTTAGTCGCGTGGGTGTGTCTGTCTACCGAGTCTGCAGCTCCTGGCCGACTCCTCTATTCCTACCTCCTGTTGCGGGTCTGCTTCTGGTTCTCTGCCTTCTTTGGTTCCCCCAGCAGCCCGACACGCATACGCAAGATCAGGAGTGTAGTGATTGAAAGTTAATTCCCGGAGGTCTCCAGTTTCGGTTCAGTGAAATTGCCAAAGCCTTTGTCTCAACACTTAACGCAGCTCTCTTTAGCAAAGGACTGAGCTGGGGCTAGGGAAATCTTGATCACTTCAGTAATTTTGAAAGGGGATGCAACTCCCCTGGGCCTGGTCCGGTGCGGACTAGCGTTTCCGGGAGAATAGAAAGATACGCTGTCTTGCAGTGCTAAATTGAACAGGTTGGGGGAAAAATACTTTCTGTGGGAAGGTAGTTGTTTACTGTTAACTGCCGAACTCCTGCAATCAAAAACACCTCATCAGTAACAAGACGTAGATAAGAGAAGGGTGTGGAAAAATAGAGGTAAGAAGGAATATAAAAACAACTGGAATAAAACTTTGACTTGGAAGGCTGAAATGAAGTGCCGGGTCTCGGTTTATTCAAAAGCAAGCCCGTATACATCTTGAGTGTTATGTATGTGTATTGTGTGCAGTATTTTGCTGAATTAAAGCACATTTCACCATTCGACACACAAGAGTTAAAGAATTTTTTTTATTAAGCGAAAACAGAAATCTAAATGAGATTAGCAAAACTAGGCACGGTTTTTTGCATATATAAACTAAAATGTCTTTTAGTTTCAATAGACATTCCTTATTATATAATGATTATCCAGCACCACAAATAGAGCCTTTCCTTAGGAGTATTTATGGTCTGTAAAACCAGAAGTGGAATTTTACATTATATATAAATCCAACTATAAAAATTAACTAGATATCTAAAGAGAAAAAGTAATCTCACTTTTGTTCTTCTAACTGAACCTTGCTTTATGACCCTAAAAGGAAGTTTGAGATACATTTACTTATCTGTAATAGGGATAAAACATTACTACCATTCATGGAGCACTTGTGTGTCCCAGGCCCTGTAATAAACTCTTTACTTGCATGGTCTAATTTAACCCCATCAATCCTTTGAAGTTGATACAATATTATTCCCATTGTGCGGATGCAGACATGGAGGCGCAGGTTAAGTAACGTGCTCAGGTTAAGTAACCTTAAGCTATTGTAAAGAAAAATAAGCTATTGTAAAGAAATACAATAAGCTATTGTAAAGAAAAATATGAACATACCTATTTTTATTCGTCTGCAAGTGGTCTGAATAAAATTAGGCCAGCAAATTTTTATTTATATGCCACTAAAGTTTGTCAAGACAAGATAAGCAATAGAAATCTAGAGGACACTTTGTGCGTTGTCATTTAACTGTGTCCCAATTTTCAAAAGGTGGAAGTGGGAGGAGTTGATTCTAAACGCCATGGTGGAATATGGTAAGACGTTATCTCAAGATAGCTGTTTAAAGATAATAATCGTAGCTCAAACTGTCAGTAACAGAATGAGTACTCATGGCAGTGTTTTGGTCTAAGCATTTTCCAGGAGCAATATTCTACACCTCATATTAATCTAAGAAGCATAAAATAGAGTATTTTTATACTGTAGATTATAACTCTTTAGTGGTGATTAAATCAATTTAGTATGTCATGAGCTGTCATAATCAGTATCTTTAAAAAACAGAACATAAAACATCGGAATATATTGCTTAGTGTAAATAATATGTACTGTTTTGTGAAACTTGTTTCAGGTGTGTATGTGTGTGTGTGTGTGCGTGCACACACACACATCAGATCACAATATAAAAAGAATGTCTTCCTATTGGTTGTGGTTGGAGAAGTTTGAAAACATTGAAATCAGGACTTAAGGCAAGCACCAGCTGTAAAGGAAAGAAAGAAAATATATTTGCAGTCAATGGTAGTTCATTCATTCCACAGCTATTTCTTCAATGTATTGAACACCAAATGTATGCATAACAACTGCCTAAAATTAGGAGGAGACACAAGTGCAACTTTTAAGGTGAGCCCTTCTCTCTGGGGAGAGTTTACAATCTTGTTGGAAAGAGAAGTTGCAGAGAGGAGTCAGTTAAATAACAGTCCAAGGCAGTATGAGATTAAGTTCTAAACTATACCAATAATAGTCATTAATTTCAGAAAACTGATGTGGGCAATAGCAGTTGAGGAGCGTTCGGAAGAAAGGAGGTGAATTTGAGCTGAACTTGAAATGGGAGGATGAAGGTGGGAGGGAAAGGCTTTCCAGCAGGAAGAAGTGCGGAAAGCTAAAGATGTTTGAGGTACAACTAATTTGGAGTAATAAGAGGTGGGGTTGGGTGAATAAGGGGAGGCGTAGTATCAGGAGAGTTTCCAGTTAGTCACGGGAGTTTACCGGAAATTGGGCAATCACTGGAATTTTCTGAACAATGACATGACAGGTTGAAATCAGAGTGTTAGTCCATAGACATTATACGTGATAGGGTGAAGAGAGAAGAAAGCTCAGATAGGAAATTATTGCCAGAGTGAACCATCCAGCTCAAAAGTGCTGGACTGGCAAAGAGCCAGAAGTAAAGCACGTTGTAGGAAGTTGTGCTCTGGCGACACACAAGGAAACCTGAAACTTAAGCCATTTCAAGTGAGGTGACAGACCTTCCAAGAGAATAACAGCATCACACAACAGCCACTGATTTAATGGTAAGTATGGTTCTTTCTCTTGAGTAAACTTGTTAATATAATTCTGTGCTAAATATACCTGTGAGATGTGTTTGTTCCCAAGGGGTAAAAAATCTCCTGGTTTGCTGTAATAGAGATTCTTAGGTATAACAAAGACAAAGAGGGATATTTTTCTTGATCAGAACATCTTGGACCATCAATAGGAAGCACAGACTGTGAGCTTGTTAAGGTCACGATTCCTGGCTCATTCATTTTGGAACCCACAATGTCTAAAAGGTACTCAACAGATGTTTGTTAAATGAATTAATAAATTAATTCCAATAACTGAGTAGTTAGGGAAAAAATATTTAGTTCTGGAATATCAAAGTGATATAAAGCAAAGTATACTGAATGATTTCAGTAGATCCTAACCTATGCAGTAAGACCACTGGTCACCATCCCTTAGACTCAGGACACTCTCTGTTGTGTGCCTCTCAGAACTCTTCAAGGTTCAGTCTGATTGGAGGACAGTAAGCCTTGCCAATCTGTTGCCTTAATTATTTCTACATTGATGAAGCCATCAGGTGGGTCCTAGAATCTGCTCTCATTGTTAAAAGGGCAGCTTTCTGCTTTCTCAAAATCATAAATCTAGTATATTGTAAATTATTATGCTTAAAAAGCAGTTTCCTTCTGGTTAACTATCATTCCAGAATTTCCAGACCAGACTTTAGGCAAAGAAAAAACAGACTTCAGGCAAGCTTTTTCCAGTGCTGACCAGGATTATATATTTTATCACCTCGTAAAGAAATTCATCAGGAACAATGTCGTATTACATATTTCCAACTTTTCTTGAAAATTTCTCAAACAGGTGTCAGTTGTGGACTAAGTTATATGAACACAGTTTTAATTTCTGGCTATTTATGCTTATACAGAACCGAAACTCAAAGCCACTGTGAGAGTTAGGATCCATAAAAATGATCTCTTTCTTGAAAAAGTCAAAGTATGTAAAGCATCCATATGTTCTGAACTGTACACTAAAAATGGTTAAGATGATAAATTTTATATGTGTATTTTACCACAACAAAAAAAAATGGGAAAGAAAGACTGCATGGGGAGGCGTTTGTTAACAGCTACTTCATAGATTTTTCTAGGCTAAACCATCACAGTTGTGTTCAATGGCAAAATCTTGGCATTTGCCCTTTTATCTATATTAGAATAGATCCAAAATTCTTTTCTGAGGAAAATCTTGACTTAGCCCACAAATATTTCCTTAGCTCCCATCTGTTTCCTTAACTTTTATGAAACCACGTTAACTCCATCCCTATTTCTGCTGAGTCCTAATGGATGTGAGTATGCCCTAACTTGCCAACACGCCTTTCTGATTTGCAGATTTATCAGAAATTCTCAACTGGGAGGAGAAATGTTAATGGAGGATTTCCTGAGGACTGTGTACTGTCTTCTGGTGATGTCAATTTTATTTTTAGATTAAAGAAAAATGATCAGGAATCTGTCTTTAGATAGTCTTGTTTTGGCTCCTGCTGTGGTTACTTTTACTGAACTGCAGTTTAGGATCATATGAACAGCATAAGTCTAGAGACGGTAGGAGAGGCAGCCTCAGGAACCCCGCGACTGCTTTTGCTGTGGAGGTGCAACTGGGAACACCGCTCACTCATCACACTGTGTTCTCTTGACGAGAGCCTGCAGAAATTCATTACCACAAATGACTCTGCTTCTCTTGAGCAACTAGTTTGTTTCATAAGCTTGTGAGCATTATGTAATTGAATGTGCTTCCTTCTGTCCTTGTGCTGGTACTTAAAAAATTCAGAGCCTTTTTTATGGCAAATGCCCAGACTCTACAGTGTACACTTTGTGAATTACTCTTACCCTGACTTCTCATTTTGTCTACTTTTAGTTTCCCTTTGGCTGGTTACTCCACCTCCTTTATATCTTATTATACTTTGTGTATTTTTTTAAGCCACCTTCAATCTTTTCTGAATAGAAGGAATAAAGGAAAACATAAGACAATCATTCATTTTATAAGTCATAAAGATTAGTTTTAAAATAACGATGAGCTCCAGATAATCTAATCGGAAGATTATGTGATTTCTTTACCACTACCACAATGACATATGTTTTTCACTACTTTACAATGAGTATAGATGTTAATTTGTATGAGTAGGAGATTAAACTGGAAGGAAACAAAACGAGTAAAGGCTGAAGCCAGGTTAGGCAGTATGTGAAAGGAGGAAAAAAACTGTGAGCAAGAAAACACGCTGAGTCAAAGAGAGAGCTGTTTGTTAAGGTTGCAAGAAGTAGAATGGGTTGGAAGTTGAATATTGAGAAATACTAATTCAAAGAGATTTCTGTATGGGAAACAGGAAGAAAGTGGCTGCTTGTTTGAGGGATTTTTGGTAATAGCTTTCCACTAAGGAAGGGTCTGGGAGATTCACAGTAATAACAGCAAGGGGATATCAGAGAGCAGGTGAGGGTGCAGTTGGGCAGAATCCTGGATAATCCTGGATAACAGGTATAAAGCCTGTTGCTGCCTAGTGCTCAGGAAGGCTGAGAAGAAGTTCTCTGGGATGGACTGAAGACAGTGGCTGGGTTGGTTTGGGATCAGGGGAGATAGGATGCTGGGGCAGAAACAGAATGCAGCCAGGAGGAGAAGCCACACTTCTCCAGGAGTCAGATGAGAGAAAGATCTCAACTGAAGACATCTGAGATCTGGCAGTGGCCCTACAAGAACCCAGAGTAGGAAATCATTGGGTAGCCTAGGGCCTGGCACACAGTATGTGTTCAGAAATTTTGGGGCTGCATTGGGTCTTCGTTGCAGCGCGCGGGCTTTCTCCAGTTGCAGCAAGTGGGAGCTACTCTTCGTTGCGGTGTGTGGGCTTCTCATTGTGGTGGCTTCTCCTGTTGCGGAGCACGGGCTCTAGGCACATGGG